CTGGTGTGTTTCAGAAGGGTGGTGCATTCACTGACTTCCTGTTGAAATTTCACAATGCAAGGCCTTCAAGTTTAGAGGAACCTTGGCAAGCTGTAGTGTACTGTGATGAAGTCCACCCTGGCAACGTATTGAATAGCACTTCCAGGAAGCTATGGTGCATATACATTTCCTTCTTGGAATTCAAACAGATGCTGAGCAAGGAGAACATGTGGTTCTGCCTGGCTACTTGCAGGTCCACTGAAGTGTCCCAGCTAGCTGCAGGGATCAGCCAAGTGTTTAAACTGGTGATGGAGCACATGTTGTGCCACAATTCCCCAGACACTGGGATTCTTCTTTCTTCTGCAAAGGGTAGCCTCCGACTTTTTTTTACCCTTGGAATGGTATTGCAAGATGGGCAAGCTCAAAAACTAGTGTGGTGCAACCGGCAAGACAGTGGCAGCAAGCCTTGCATGATGTGCAATAACATTTTCCAGCTGAAAGATGCAGAGTCTGCTGACATGAATGATTGCCAAAAGGTTTTCAGCAGGTTCACAAAACTGTCACAGCTACACTTGGCCACTGATGCTGACATACTTCAATCTTGGCACAGACTCAAGGACAAGAAGGACACTGTGCCTGCTGGTGTTTTCAGCAAGTGGCAGCAAGCTGCAGGAGTTACATTCAGCCCTCATTGCTTTATGGCCAGTGAAGCATTGCAAGGCTTGAATCTCATCAAGCCTGTGTCAATGTATTGCTTTGATTTTATGCATGGCATGTGCAGCCATGGCTTGATGCAGGACACTATTTTCTTGGTGTTGGAATCTTTGAACAAGAATGGGCACAAGGTGTGGGATACCTTGCATGATTGGGTAGGCCTATGGGTGCTGCCCCATGGCTACAGCTGCAACTTGAAGAGCTTCTTTGGGACAAAGAGTGTGAACAGCTACAGAAAGGCTGGCACTTTCAAAGCTTCTGCATCTGAGATGTTGTGCGTTTACAAACTTTTGCAATTCTTTTTGCAAACGATGTTTCTCTGCAACAATGTGATGGTAGAGCAATGCATGTGTTTTCTGTGTTGGGCAGATGTGCTAGACTTCTTGGTCAGCATCCCTGCCTTTTTGGACCCCCCACGTGATCAGCTTGCACGATTGGTGGAAACTGCTCTAGAAGCAACTGTGGCAGCAGGCTTTGCTGATGACATGAAGGCAAAACACCATTGGACTCTACATTACAGTGTTTGCTTGGAAAGGTGGAAGCAGCTTCCTACATGCTGGGCAATGGAAAGGAAGCACAAAACTCCAAGGAAGTTTGGGTCAGCACAGTGCAACCTTGCCACTTATGAAATTGGCATCATGTCTGCTGTTACTTCAGAGCATATCAGCATTTTGTTGCAAGATGAAGACTTGTACAAAACAGGTTGCTATTTGGTTGAAGCCCACCGCTGTTCAAAGAATTTGGAAGGTTTGCTGAAGCAGTGCAATCTTTGGGTTGAAGGCATGGCCAGCTCCAGTTCATGCAGGCTGCAATGTGGCATGATTTGCAAAGCAGGTGATGTGGCTTTCCTAAGGGGCACACTTTCCAACACGCCTTCTTTCAAATGGGGGTGCTGCCAAGTCAAGCATTTTTTGCAAGCAGGCAACTTGAAGCTGTGTGTGGTGGATATGTTCAATTTCTTGGAGGCAAGGGCCAACACATTTGCAAGTTCTTGGCAAGGTACCACTGGGTCCTTGAAGTTGATTTCAGCAGAGAACATTCTGCAACCAGTGTTTTGCACTTTTGGAAAGAGTGGCAAGCTTACATGCTTGACTCCTGCACCATTGGCTTGCTGCAGCTGAAAAAAGAGCTAACCAGCAGTAGCCCAAGGTGTAGCCCATACAGGCTCAAGTGTCAGCTTGCACAAGCTCCTTTTCCAAAGGCAACTGTTAGCTTATGCAAGCTCCAGTGTCAGCTTTTGCAAGCTTCTTTTCCCAAAGCAAGTGCAAGCCTGTGTAAGCTTCAGTGTCAGCTTTTGCAAATTTCTTTTCCACCATGCATAGGGTAGCCAAAGATACAAGAGGTCCATGCAGGGTTGGAAGTTTGTTGGCTGATAACTTGGCTGTGGTTTGAAAGTTTGCTGTTTACAAAATATATCATGCAGTGCCTTGGGCACCAAAAAGTTGAGGGAAGGTTTGAAAGTGAACACCTGCATTTCTGTTTGTGGTGGTTTGAAATATATTTTGGTGGCTACCATTTTGGGGTAAACTGGTGTTGCTGACAAGGTGCCACTTGGTCGAACATGTTCATGTGGCAGCTGCACTTGCAAAAATGGCACCTAATGTGGGCAAGAATTTCCACTTCTTCAGTCTGCAATTTAATTTCACAAGATCTTTTTTTTAAAAACAACTTGTGTCAATGTCTTTTTTCAAATTTAGGAAACCCAAAAAACTGGTTTCAACACACAAAAAAAATCACATAGCTAACGAGTTATAACTAGTTAGCAAAAATTAGTTAACTATCTTAATGCTCTTAACTGCTTAGCAAAACACCAGAACATCTAAGTAGCAGCGCCGCAGATGTGTGCAAGTGCAACGAAGATCTTACAACGTAGCGGCTCGAGCGTTTGCAAGTGGAAGAGAAGATCTTACACTATAGCGGCCCAAGTGCTTGCAAGTGCAAGAGAAGGTTTCACAATGTAGCATCAAATGCGCTCATAGGTGCCAGAAAATCTTACTATACAGCGTCGCATCACAAATGTGCGCAAGTGCTGGATAAGATCTTGCAACGTAGCATCACATGCGTGCGCAGGTGCAAGAGAAATTCTTATGGCATCACATGTGTGTGTGTAACATCTAAATAGATGTAAAACTTCTCTCTCTTTTTCTTCCTTTGTCCTCTCCCTTTCTAATGCTAAATTCAATGCAGGGGGTGGATGCATGGTCTGGCAGTCATCCACCAACGAAGACACTGCCTTTCCATGGTGATATCGATCTGGGACGCCAGATCGACGTACCTGCCAATTTGCTGATCGGTTTCAACTGTTGATCAAGCTGTTACACTGCGTTGTTTCGAATCTACACGGTTGCCACAATCTGTATTGCCTGCATCAGAACCTTCCTCAGTTTTTCGCCGAAACCATGTCGCCGACAGTATTTTGATTTTTTGAATTATTTCGCCGAAACATGCCGAAACCATGTCGCCGATGTATTTGGATTATTTTGTCACATCCACGTCGCCGATCTATAAATTTTTGATGACGATCTTGGCCATGGAAACCATTCAGGAGAACTTCCACTATTCGTAGGGTGCATCGTTAATTTCGTTTTTTCATATCTAATCTGCATGTTTCAGGATTCAGTTCCTGCCGGATCATATAATGATCCATTCTTGTCTAGTGTGATTTCCATGGTGGCTCCGAGATGGTGCCATGGAGCCATTTGAGGCAACCCTCTTTAGGGTGAGTGATGACTGTCCTGACTGCCGAATTAACACATTTTAATTTAGTAATTCATCTAAGTAATGTGCAACTGCTGGCCTTACTGTTCTGCACCTTTTTTGAGATGTCCTGCCGTTCCGGCTGTCCCTTGAGATCCTTTGTGAATTGCATTCTTTGCAGCAAGAAGCCGTGCTGAACTTCGGAAACCTCCTTTTTGCAGCACTTTTACAGCGACATTGCATCATGTCACGTTACTTGAAACAGGCAGGCACACGTCTTGCAGGTGTGGTTTTCTTTCCTTTTGGTTCTCTGGTGAGGTGAAACATATTGTGCATCTAATTCGATGGAACTTGACAGCCGTTATATGCCAATTGGGGCAAGACTTGACCACGGTCCCGGTGCAGGGAATAATCGCACGACTCTTAGGAATCTAGGGACTGAATCCTGTTGTTTAATTAATTGTTTTGGTTTTTTTGCCTGTCATTAACTAGTCCCCCATTTGGTCCCTAATTTTCCCCGCGTGCCTCTCCGTAACGTGTCGTGGGGTTTAGGTGTGTGCGCTGTTTTTGTCAGGTCCGTTTCGCCGTGTAGGTTGGTTCCGGAGGTCCGTCTGTTCCCCTCCCCCCCCCTGCGCTGTTTTTGGCCGTTTGCCCGTCGTGTGTCAGCTTTTTTCTTCCTCTTGCCTTTCAGGGTTGACCCGGCTCTGGCCGGGTGTGTGTGTGTAACATCTAAATAGATGTAAAACTTCTCTCTCTTTTTCTTCCTTTGTCCTCTCCCTTTCTAATGCTAAATTCAATGCAGGGGGTGGATGCATGGTCTGGCAGTCATCCACCAACGAAGACACTGCCTTTCCATGGTGATATCGATCTGGGACGCCAGATCGACGTACCTGCCAATTTGCTGATCGGTTTCAACTGTTGATCAAGCTGTTACACTGCGTTGTTTCGAATCTACACGGTTGCCACAATCTGTATTGCCTGCATCAGAACCTTCCTCAGTTTTTCGCCGAAACCATGTCGCCGACAGTATTTTGATTTTTTGAATTATTTCGCCGAAACATGCCGAAACCATGTCGCCGATGTATTTGGATTATTTTGTCACATCCACGTCGCCGATCTATAAATGTTTGATGACGATCTTGGCCATGGAAACCATTCAGGAGAACTTCCACTATTCGTAGGGTGCATCGTTAATTTCGTTTTTTCATATCTAATCTGCATGTTTCAGGATTCAGTTCCTGCCGGATCATATAATGATCCATTCTTGTCTAGTGTGTGAAAGTGAACATGAACGTTTATAATCCACCCCACCCCACCCCAGCCAAAACCCCACTCCAGGCGTGACGTCACACATCTTCAGCGTCGCATCACGTATGTACGCAAATGCTAATGAACGTGCCATGACTGAGCATGACCTGTGCGCGGAAGTGCAAGTGAACGTTATTGTCCCACCCCATCCCAGTTTTGTGGGCCGGTAAAAGATCAGCATTAACATGCCTTCACTAAACTTACAGTATAGTTGATTTACTTTACATTAATTAGTTGGCATATAAATATAAATATATATATATATTATAGAATAAAATTATCCTATGTCCCCAGCCCAGCACCTCTATCTCTTCATCTTGCCACAGCTCCAGGCGCAGCTCCTGGGGCCAGGTCGCCAGCTCAGGCGCGGCCGCGTCGCTGAGGTCCGAGCGGCAGAAGGAACGGAGCTCGCCCGCCTGCGGGTATAATATAAGACTGGATTATATGATGTTAGGTAAACAACAAATGGTTTGATGAATGTGTATATATTACAAGATGTATATATATATATATATTCAAATTGAATATAAACTGAATATATGTGCGTGTGCTATGTTGTGAAACGATTACTGTAGTTTTGTCAGAGACCTTGAACGAGGGTCGTGAGAAGGGTGGCCAACTCATTATTGAGGGACCAACAAGCGTCAGCAAGTGAAATTAAAATTGGTGCACGTGTGGCAAACGCAAGTTCGATGACAAACAGGCACAATCCAAAGGGAACATCATCACATAGACTTAAACAAAATCGAATTGTCAAATGGGTAAACCTCCAATGAGGAATGGCAAATATGAATTTGCATTTACAATTGCAGTGGGCGGTTTCAAACCCTCTCACCAAAAGGCATCACAGGTTCCATCCACCAAACGGGAAAAGAAGTGGTCATACGCTTCGAAAACGGGACGCAATGGGGAGTCCACACGCCCACTAGCTGCAATCATCCCATGAGATCATTGTACTCCTAGTGGCGAACAAGGCTAGCCTTTCCCCGCCCTGGGTGTCCATGTTGATATGTTGAAATGTTGAGAGCATTTCCAGAGGCGAGGGTTTGTTTTGGAAGTTTTTCTTTTCTCACCGTTTGAGCCTGCTGCCCATGTCATCCTATATCAATTTCAAACCTATAGGGTCTCAACATCTTGCCTGCGGAAAACTGCTGGCAAAGTACCTGCGGCAGCAGCTGGATCCATCCTCAAACAACAATGTGGTACAGACATGTACTGACAGATAGGCTAGATTAGATGAGTTTAGTTTAGCTTGGATTCGGTTATATAGTTAAAAGGTTAGGTTAAACAAATTACATATGTTTTAACCGATTAAGGTAGACCCGATCTGGATGGATTGAAGTAGTTTAGATTAGATAAGCTTGCATTATCTAGATTATGATAAAGATAGAAAGGCTGACAGGCTAAAACTCAATAAGCATCGAGAGAACATGAGATAGGGATAGATAGAAAAACAAAGAAACATAGATACATAGGTAGGCAAAAAAGCTGAGGTAGGTTAATGAAAAAATGATAGGACGGAGGAAGCTAGGTAGATAGATAGACATAGATATAAATATAGAAGTTTAAAAAAGGCAAGTACAACGATAAAGAAAAACAGATGCAAAAATGCATATAGGTAAAGAGTAAAAATAAATACATAGAAATATAGTTTCATACACAGGTAAGCATAGGTATGGAAATAGATGAAGATATAGATGGGTAAATACACAAATTAAAGATCCAAAGCGACAGAAGCAGATAAAGATAGATATAGACAGCTATGAAGAAATTTTGATCGAGATTGATAGATATAGATAGGGATTGGCGCAGACTGGCAAAGACCAATATCCCGTTATGGATCATAGGTACAAAAAGAAACTGGAAGATACAAACACGAAGAAATAGATAGATGTGGCGATACAGGTTGACATCAGGAACGAGATAGAGATGGGCAGGTTGACAGATATAAAAATAGACTGATGGATAGTTAGATGAAGAGATGGAGAGATTGATGGCAAAACGCACCTGTCTGCAAAAGACACTGTCAACCAAACAATCTTTTATATGTTTACCAAGCCCGGCCTCTCTAGCATGATTTCACCTATCCGTCTGTTTGTTGCAGGTCTACCAAAGTGTCTCTCTAACTACCTGCAAAATGTGTCTAGCTACCGGTCCATGCTTATGCTGCTGCATTTCTGATGCTTGTGCTAGCTGGAAACCAAATGAGCTTTACAGGCGTGGCGCTGCCTTTCCCCCATGCCGTTGCACGTGGAACAAAATTCGGGCCGGCTGATCCTAAGCATACCAGCTAGCGGGGATCTACCACGTAGTTGATTTTCTGGTCAGCGCATGTGGCTTTGACCTGCTCACGATGTAGATACGGCACCGCGAACGAATACCATGCTCACATCAGTTTTCGGCGCATTGTTTAAGCCCTCCGTCACATCGACACATAAAGACCTCAAACCACAAATGTCCAGAATAACTTGGAGAAAAAATCTGAGAGAAACGCCCACAAACTGACATTCAACCTGGCAACATTCTGCTGTTCTATCTGATGCTTTGTCTGACATTCTATCGGACATATATTCTGCCAATGTTCGGACTTTCTATTCGACATTTTATTTGGCATCTTTTGTTTGACAATGTATCTCAAATATATGCTCATGTTTTTGGCATTTTGTCTGGCATACATTTTGACATTTTATCTTGCAAATATTTTGACAAGCTTTCTGGCATTCTAGTTGATATATACACACAGGCACACACACACACATATGTATACACATATATGCTGGAACTTGTTTTTAATTAGAATAGAAATATATGTATATTTATCTCTGACAGTGTGTCTGTCACTTCATCTGACAAGAATGCTGACATTTTATCAGGCATTCTATCGGGCATATATTCTGCCAATATGACTTTCTGTTTGACCTGGTACTCATTGTATGCCTGAAATATCTTCCGACATTTTTATGACATCTCTCCAGGCATTTTATCTCGCTACTGAACATTTCATCTGACACGTATTCTGACATCCTAGTGGGCACTTGTCACCTTGTTTGATATGTTATCTGACGTTTTATCTGACATTCTACAAGGCATTTGCTCTGACATACATTCTGACATTCTCACAGTTTATCTGGCATTCTATCTTGGATACATTCTGACATATATTCTGAAAGTTTATCTGACATATATTCGGACATTTGGAGCACTGCCTGTTGGTTAGCACCACCGTATAGTACCCACCAAAGAGATCTACAGTAGTGTTTTTCTTTACTATTCTCTGCCGTTTTGCCTACTTTGCGTATGATCACGTATCATCTCCATATTATCAGTTCCTCGATATGGCTTAAAACTGCAGCAAAACAGGACCCGTCAAATTGGTTGTGGGGTTATGAGTCATTGAACCCAACTATGAATCAAGTCAGATCGAATTCCTACCTTGAAGTTATTGAATAAGTGCAAGAATTGTGGTAATGTTGTCAATACAATAATCAACTACCCATTTGGGAAATGTTGGGAATAGTTTATACCACCTAAAAAAAATGGTGATTTGGGGGATGGTTTATGAAAGTGTTTTAACATGTTTTAAGCACATTACATGAGAATCCTATCACTCTGAAGCATGGGATCATCCCATTCAACCTGCAGCGAACCAGAATGGTTACGGACCACAGGACCATAGTGGCTTGGGTTTACCACCTGGTATGTCCGTCAGGTCTGAGCACGTTTGTGCCCATGACTTCGGGGATTCGACTTGGATCCAACATCGCCCCCGTGAAAGGTGTTGAACAATTTGAAGTCACGACTTGGCTGAAGAAGTATGGTCATGTGGTAAAGCTCAATAACTAGCCTACCATTTGGGGATTGCTGTACCATATCTAGAAGGAAGTGCTTATAATGAGTTTCCCTGCATCTACATTTCTCAGCATCTCACGCTTCAACTTGCCTAAGGAAAGGGACAACCAGAAACGAAACCAGCCAACATGGTAGGTTGCTTCACTCCATGAGGAGAAAAACCATGACCATTTGATTTTATGTACCATTTGGCTTGGTGATATAAATCCCTTCCTGACAACTTGGCATGCTTATTCCTGCAGAGACTCGTGAACAACCCAGGATTCTCCAACGGCACAGGCTGAACTTCCACAGAATGTGACATCAAAAACTCATCTTTCCCATCAATGCGAAGAAGCACGACATCGTAAATTCAAACATATACTGATTTTAGCTTAGAATAGACAGGTATAAGATAACATTACATATATAATGAAATACTCAAGCCAATTATATGTTTGTATGAATATGCATATATGCATGCATGCATGCATGCATGTAATCATGTATATACATGTAAATACATGTATATAAATGTATATGCATATATTTACATTGACCCATCTTGTCCCAATAGAAGGATTCAATCTTTTACACGTTTGGAGCAAAGAGAAGACATGAATATCTGTATTTCACGGGCAAGTTAAGTGGTCTAGGCAGCCTAGGGCATACGAACAATAACCTAGCTTTTACCTGTATAACTATATACAATATATATATAATATACATGTACGCCCGCCGATATGCTTAAGACATGACTAAATGATTTATACATTGTGTTATCAACATGAAATCCGAGATCAAACCCACACATGGTCATGCCTTCCTTTTGCGGCCCCGGATGAGCCCCCCATGGTTTCGAGGAAAGGGCACATACAATGTGCGTGTTCCAAAAATAAATTCAAATCCAGAAAATCACCAATAAACACATCAACCCCAGAAGAAGACAAAGAAAACGCGTCAAAAATCAATCAGTTAAGCAATATCACTGGGTCCAGGTGCAACCCCAAAGCTAGGTTTTGAATCCTTAGTTCCCATTCTTTTGTGCAAAAATATAAGACATTTCCCCAAAATTTTGGCCCACGTCAACGGCCTGGACCTTTCAAGTACCCGTCAAAAATTTGGCACTTCACCTCATTTTTTTCGTACTTTCAAGGGTCTAGATACCTTGAAATTGCTTGAGGAACCCCCAAGAACAAAACGTATTCCCTGAAGATTCCCCACATGGTGGATTTCGGGAAAATGAGAAAAACAAAACATCAGCAAATCCAGAATAGTTGATTTTCCCAGCTACAAACCTTCCTTGATAATGAAGTTTCGCAATTTTTCCCATGATTTTCCTATCATCTTCAGCACATCGAGGGTACACATATCATGTTTGAAGGTCGAACCCAGCCCTGGCGCACCAGCCAGGCCCTGCTCCAAAGCGTTCAGAGAAGACCAACCAAACCTCATCACCTCGTCCACCGGATGCCTATGGGTCAAAAATGGTCAAAACCCTCGTACCCCATGGATGGATGGGTATTCCCCAATATATGGTTTTAATCATCCATTCATTTATGTGCAGTTAAAACCTTTAAATTGGGTTACCCAATTTCATGTCATTTCAAAGGTTTTAACCATTTTAACCCATCTATATATAGATTCAAAATGATTTAGCGAACAGTTTTCGGATTCCAAATGATTGAACCAATAATCGTTGACAGTGAGCAATCAACTGCTTTTTGATTCCAGATTATTGAACCAATAAAAATGATAACTGATAAATCACACAATGTAGTTTGCCTTTCCACTAGGAATACGATCCTCCAAAGCAATTTTTGGGTGGGATTGCATGTGTATTTTTCCGTTTTCCACGACGCAATTGAAGGGTGCAAAGCCATTAGTTTCTTCAGACATGCTAACTAACATAATGAAGGGCGGATAATGAATTGTGCAATACGATCCATCAGCACTAGGTGGGGTGACGTCATAGCGCCGATATATATATATAGGTCTATATATACATACAGAGTAGTACCCGCATTTGTCCAGGTAAATTGTAGTAATTCTCTGACAAGAAATTTCGCTTACTAACCATCATTGCAGTGAGGTCGCAATGAGATCGTTATAATTTTCCCAGAATAATTAATTGTGATCATGTTTGGCATCAACCCCCTCCACCATAAACAGCGAAACCGCCAACAGCACCAGCACCAACATCAACGTCAACCATTTGTCGTCATCTTTATCATCATCAACATCATCATCATCATCATCACCATCATCCTCCTCATCTTCAGCATTTCATCTTCATCGCACATGCCACCAAGCGACAGTTCTTGACATATGCGGGGCGGCCTTCGCAAGAGCCGCTCTCCAGGTACTGTCCCGACAACTTGGGATGAGCGCTGCGGACCGTCAGCCGCCGTCCCATTGGTTCACTGCTTTGTGGTTTAGCCACCCAACTTCAAAGCACGGCCTATTTTGTTGATAACATGATATGCATGCCTTTTGCTCGTGAGTACATATTCATATTATTTCATATTCGCAGCTATGGCAGAAAATTAAAGTACTCAACTACCCAGCCATGGTTTCCCCAGTTGAAAGTCCGGCGGGAATCATTGTTATCTAGGTAGGGTTGATCTACTACAGCTGGCGAAACTGAAAGAAATCTATGAAGTTCTGGCTTTTAACCTCTACATATATAGCATCTTTGGAGCCACAGTTGCTGAGTCAGAACCCCAGGTCTTTTTAATGGGCGCAAGCTGGTTCAACCGACTTCAACCGTTCATCACATTATGTTGCTCGCAATATCTTCCAATCTCACAGCATCTTATAGCCAGTTCTTGACTTATTTGACTTCAATAACCCAGCTGTGATCCAATATGATTCCAATCTAATGATTCAGCTTGTCACTTTCAATGGATTGGTTATGATTGGTTTAAGGGAAAAAATCCATTGAGCCCCATGAATGCACGGGAAAATCCATGGTTTCCTGCAGATTTTCCTGTAAACCAATCCATTGTCACTTGGGGGATCCACTTCCGCTTGATGATGAAGAGCTGCAATGGCGCGGGCCAAGCGCTCAAGGCCGGAAAACAGCAAACCCTGATGAAAATTCCCCGGTTTCACAGACCTGACCGAAGCATGTTTCTTTTACAATGTTGCTTGAGCGTTTGCTACACTGTGACTTAAGAAGAAGGTAAAAGAAAGTCTAACGAGTGGTTTACTTAAAACTTAAGACGGGACGGACAAAGTGTCCAAACAATATTTCGTTAGACACTGCCGCCATCTCAGCTTTTCAACACAGGCACAGACTGGTGACGAAGCTGTCGGCTAAGACTGGGCACCTTAACCCAGAGATCATACCATCGGCAGCGACATAGCTGGCGCTAGGAAGCACCGCACCCATGACATCATGGAATCCAGCAAAAAACAAAACACAAAGGAATGGCACAGGAAGGCCCACCCCTAAATAGGTGTCTGTTTGTTCTAAGATTATATAGATCTACAATAACTCCTCAAATATGTTGAAAATATGGTGGATATTCTATAGCTTGGGGGATTTGTAAACCAAGCTATAACTGGGCTGGGCCTTCCAAGATGATGATATAGCCCCAGGCCCAATGCAGGTGACCTATGACTATGACAGCCTGGAGGTCACCGCAGGTGGCAAACGTGTAGCCCGACCCAAGGGGATCCTCCAGGCATTTGAACCTCGCAGGTTCCCTTTGGATTCCATGATTCTGGACAAGTCATGGGTTGGTCCGCGATGACTCCGATAATTCTTCAGAACCCCAGTGCAAAAAGTGGTGCAACAGGAGCTGAGTCCAGTAGTGGCATCCTGGAACCCAAATAACCTTCAAGTCTGGGGTGGATATCCATGCTTTTTGACTTTATTGGTTCAAAACACTCTCTCTAGGTCTTTGATGGTTTTTGCAGGTCAATTGGGTTCCCGGATGGGGTCTATGTTTGTCTCAAAATGTCTTAAGTCTCCAAAGTTTAGGTCCCTTGGGCGCGCAGCATCTCTGAGACACCCTGTGAGCCACACCGCCGTTGCGCGGGCATGATGCGGGACAGGATCCGCAGGCATCAACCAGGGCTGAGTCAGGGCAGAACGCCCCGAAGCTGGAGTAGCTTGGATCTGTCTGAATCATTTCTTGTAGATGTTTATTCAACTTGCGCGCGCATTTGGGACTGACCGAGATTCATCCTAGATTCTGGGGTTCTCTAAACTCGCGTCAGCGGTGTCAGCGGTCTGGTTGTTCCTCACTCTCCTGGAGGATGAAGCTCCGCCGCAAGAGTTTGAAGTCCCAACGATAACCCACATAGCATCTGGGCTATAACTCCTTTCAAACATGGTCCTTAACCATGCACAGATGGGGGTTCAAATCCAAGTACCCCGAAAGGACTATAGTGGATCAAAAGTTGAATGTGATTTCACTGGTGAAAGTAAGGATCTTAACTCAAGTCGAGTACAGGTTAATGAAACCAACCAAAACTTCAGAATGGGATCGGAGGCGCTCCAAAAATGTGGTCCATCCTTTTTTCACGGACCCAGTTGATGATATTGGGACATAATGGGACTGCAATCCTCCAGACTTTCCGGGCAAATCGTTCCAAAATGGACAATTTTCACGGCAGTGCCATGATTTTTTGGTCAACCCCACAGGGGTTCGTGGAAATGGCTGGGGCATGCTGGGGCCCGTCTCCTCTGCATAGCCATCCTTAGGCCTCAACTTGTCTTCTATTCTTCTCTTGATCTCTCCTTGGCTGAGGCTGACTGTTGCACTTGGTAGTTGGGAGAAACTGTGACTTTGGGCAGGAAACACACATGAGGTCGAGAAAGAGAATGAGAGAGAGAGCGAGAGAGAAAGAGAGTAATTAAAATGGTACGTGTCAACTTGTCTTGCATCTAGCATCATCTAACTATGTAATACGTACATTCAAATATCTTCGCATAAAATATCGTAGACATGTGTCCGCACGCATGCAGTGGCCGCAAGTTAGACAACCAGGGCTATCTCTGCACCTCTCAGCTGCTTCTAGGGGGGTTCTTCAAACACCAGCACCAAAAAGGGGTCCTTCTTGTCAGGAAAAACGCAGTTTTGAAATTCCTCATTCCGAAGTGATACAACACACACACACATATGCATATTATATCTATATCTACAGTGCTGCCCCAGCCAAAACATGGACCACCTTGGTCGCGGCCATAGCTTCCCCCAAAGCTATGGCATGAGCTGCAGCAAAGCTTCCAAAGCTGACTAGTTCAGCTGGCCCTGATCCCTCATCAGTGCAGCACCTGCGTTCGCACCAACAAGGTGAGCTGAAATAGGAATTAGAATGGTGATTTAATGGAAATCTTCAGGATCTGCAGTTGGCAATTTCTGAAGCAGCTTGGGGAACACAACTCCAATCATTCCGAAATGAAGAGCTTGCATCCAATACAGGTGTAGGTCAAAACTGAAGACCTTTTGTTGCTTTTTGGTCGCCAACCAGCGCGTGATTGGGTTTAGATGTATCCATTTGTCATAAATCCATTTTGTTGGATCCATTTTAGGGACCATCTGGGGTTATTTCGTATAGATCAGATCTATAGCCCCATTTCAGAATTGCTAAATGATATCTGACGGCATTTTGGATGGTGAACCCCCCACCTCACTGAGTTGTAGTGCTGCCCTGCATGGTGTGTCGGGTGGAACGATAGCCTTGGTGGAGTGACACCCAGGGGCCACCACCATCTCTACTTGCGAGGGGTTTTCTTTTTTACGAGAGGTCGGATATTTAAAACTGTCAACCAAAAGTTGAAAGTTGCATCAGTTGTTACTAATTAGAAAGTAGACACTCACTCAGAACAAGTTCTGAAGGCAACTAGGTACTGCCAATCTGAGGTTTGCAGCGCAAAATCCCAAGGCCATTTGCTAAACTCCCCAAGCCTCCAGCCTTTCAACTGGACACCAGCGCTCTGGCATTCCGGAATTGTGCATCAAACCCCGCAAGCCGCCCAGTTTCTGTGGCATTTGGAGCATGGCTCATGGTTTTAAATCTATCTGTCAGGTGGTATCGATCAACAATCATCACACTAAACAGTAAAAGCAGTTCATTAATCATCCGACATCATGGTGTAGTTTCAACCTTTTACCCAATGATATCCCAATGATAAATAGTAATTGGCCAGGGTGATTTGATCAGTTCTCTAAGCAGCACGAGCCCAGGAACTGTACGCAGCCAGCATGTTCGTCGCTGGCCTGAATTTCTACTGCAGATCTCAGGATCCTGAGGATGTTGCAATGAAGGCGACCAAGGTGGAAATGAGGGCCCTCAAACGCTTGGGAGGTGATGATGGGTGTAACAATGATGAATCATGATGACTTCTTGGGCTGTCACAAAAAGTGAAACTGGTTATGCCGCTATGCCCTCATTTGTATACTCTAATAAATCAGACAGTTTTAACTGATAACTGATTTCTTGTGTTGAACAAGTGGATTTTACTCTGCCAAGTTTGTTTTATCAGCCAACACCCTGCTCTGAGTAAGGTTTTCTTCCAAACGAACCGGAGCTCAGTCACAAAGAAATGAGAACCAGCAATATTGATTCACTTGAAACATGTGGCCCGGTGATATTCTTTAATCAACGCAGCTTGGACCCCCGCAAAACATCAACAACTGAATATTGGGGTATCGGCCAAAATTTGGAGGCTAAAGGCGAGCCAAGCCCAGTGACAAGCAGTTCAGCCCGCTAGCGTTGTTGGTTTATTAGACACGTTTCAAAACCATTCTTACCATAGTCCCCTGCCAGATGCGCGTCCCCCTTCTACAAAAACACACCTTTTGGCAATCTAAATCCCAGCATTTTACCGATATATGTTCCCATATTTTCCAACAATGTTTCAATATGTTCCTGCTTTTTCCCATATGTTCCTATATTTTCCTGTATTTTCACATGAAAAATGGAGGATTTTCCCATTGCCCAAATTGGTTACCACCAGGCACTGGCCACCTTCGCCCCCCGCAACGCGCCGCGGCTCTGATCCGGTCTACCCGACGCCTGTGACGGCTGGTAGATGACCTACAGCGATGTGCTACGGCGGCTTCAACGCCAGGGGAGGGATAGGGAGATCACCCAATAGCAATGGGGATATCTGGGAATCACTTACTGATCTTACTGGTGCTTAGTAGGGAATGGATGGGAATTGGTGAATGGGATACCCTCTGGTAAATTAACATAGACCCTGGCAGATAGGGGTTGGAAGACTAGTTTCCATTAAAAATTGGTGATTTTCAGGGTCTATGTTTATTTACCATAGGGTAATTATTACCAGTGATTATGGATCATTCCCTCATTCCCTACTAAGCACCAGTAAGATCAAACATGGAGATATCATGAAATATATGGAAATGGACATCAATGAAACTCACCTAATTATAATGGAAGTTTGAATGAGAAAATCAACAAACTACACGGTGGATTTTCCAGCAAAACCATGTTTGATTACCAGAGAGTACTAAGCAAGAACTATGGGGATATCAAGCATACTTCGTGAGTGGATTGCAGTTTGGAAGATGTTGGAATCAGCAATGAAACTGTTGAATCCCATTTCCTTAATGACCAACTGCCCCAAATGAAGAAGCGCACTAATTACCATCTGGTTATTTAACAGAGCCATGGAAAATCACCATTTTTAATAGGTAAACCATCTATAAATGGGCCATTTTCCATGGCTATGTTAAATAACCAGAGGGTAATTGCTATTGCTAAACTAATTACCCTCCAGTAAATTAACATAGACCCTGCCAGATAGGGGTTGAAAGATTAGTTTCCTCTAAAAATTGGTGATTTTCAGGGTCTATGTTAATTTACCAGAGGGTAGCTTCATGATTCTTGCTGTTTCTTGATAGGGGGAAGGCCGGGAAGGGGATTCCATGACATGCATCGTCATGCGGACGAGGCACTGCGTTGACTCCATTCCGCCGGGCTAGGGCTTGCACCTTCGCGTTGTGGCGCGATTGTGGGCACATAGCAGTCTCGCCTCTGGTGATGTCATACCTTAATAGGTAAATATAGGTGAAGTATCTCTAATTCTTCTATCAATATGGGCCATGTTCCTAGCTATTTGAATTACAAGAGGGTAAGTGATGGCGATCAAATTCATCCGATGGTTGAATCTGTAAGAGGGGGCAGAGCCCACTGCAAGGTTGGTCATAGATTCAGCGCATTGAAGGAACCAGGACTTTGAAGGGATTTCCCTCAAAATCTGAACTTTCACCCCCTGGAAATTCTGAACGAAAATCGAAAACGAGCTGATTACTGCCTGTGAAAAAATATCTATCCATCCATCCATCCATGTATCACGTATCTGTCTGTTTATCAACATTATATATATAATTATATATATATGCTCCAGAATTTGTAATATGTTTCTGGAGACCAGATATTTGCAAGTATAGATTAGTAATATGAACATTATATATATATACAGTATATATATATGTGTGTATATGCATATTAGATCTATACTTGGAAGTGGTGTGTTGGCCTGAGAACCTGGCCTCTACATGGCCGCCCCAGGTGCATCTCTGCCTCATCCGGCCTCAGCAGACATATTTATTTGGCGCCGCTGGTCATGGCTTGTCTGAACATGGGGTTACCCCGTGCTACCTCCTAAATCCACGGGTTTATCATCATGTTCCCAACATTTCCCAACACATATGCCATTTGCATCCATTTGGGTGGTAGAAACAACAGGAATTCAACCATCAGGTTAGACGATTTCACACGCAATCATGTGGATAAGCAACAAAAAAGAGGTACATGTTCCTGTTCTGCCACACCCCAGGCCAAACAAATCATCACTTGACTAACAACAATGGTATCCCACATGTTTTGTTCATTCGGCACCGGCAAAGACAATCCTCGTGTTGACATGCAGAATATCCCACAAAACCTTTCAAAGCAATGGTGTGTGGGAGCCATAGGGGGTTAAAGCTCTTGTATCTCTTGCTTGAATCCAGATCAAATGTACTCCACCTCAAGATAGTGGAATACAATTCGAAGATGCTTTAGGAACCGCCACGCACAACCATGACAAAACAACTTCAACTTACAATTTGCAAGCATCTGAGAAACTGAACCTTGCAACAATGCCCACTCCTATCTACATCTTGGAAGTTCCACAAACCCAGGTGTCGAATCGACCCTGAAGCCATGGTGCTGCAGTAGGACTCGAACTCGTCCTTGGCTGGTTAGTGGTTCAGGCCACTCAATATGTACTAAACATTTTTTAAAAATCAAGATCCTTCCCCCAGGTAAACTTGTATATACATATATATATATCTCTTTCAAGACAACAACCAGAATTTGACTTCTTTGGTTGATCCTGACGGTCAGGCAGGCCCAAGCTGTCCACTTGTCCTTCAGCACATTTGCACATTGACAGCATCTATGGTGGACCCCAAGATAGGACAAATATGGAAAAGTGATTTACTCTGCTATCTTTTTTCGAGGGTGCCATTGAGCAATTGTATAATTCAATGTGTTCATGTATATCATATTGCTTCCATTCTCTCCCAAACCAAAAAAACTTTGATGAACCTGGCCTAAAGAGGCCCGGATAAGACAAAATACAATCCGGGGATTTTCAGGCAGCAACCTATTGAGCTTTCCCAGCCCCCTGGCCCTTGACTCTCTCTCTCTCTCTCTCTGATCTTTTTTCATCGAGACTAAGCGGCAAAACGCCGCCCTGAGGTTTTGAGCGCTCATGCAAGTGCGAGGGCACGAAGGCAGATTCATTGTCTTTGCGGGTGCATGACAGGGAATGGCCCCCGATGGTTTTCCAAAAGATATTGTTGAATCAACTAGCAAGGTTTTTCAAGTCGGAAAATCGGCCATAAAACTTACGGCCGGGCTGGCCTATCAAACAGCCCTGTCATCCACTCTCACAGCCAAAACCCTAAGGATTCCCATGAATTTTGCCACCTTAGGTGGCTACAATGTAGGCGCCAGCCACGTAGAAACCAGTCTGTTCAGCAATCAAGCGTTGGATGTCTTCGGACTCGGGTGTTGTTCTGATGCTTTGCGACTGAGACTCGTGGCAGGGATTCCTTGTGTACATTCCCTACAGCTGTCACGTCCATGCTCCGCAAACAACCATAGATATGGAGGAGCCTGGCACCATTGTGTCAACCGATGTCAACCGCATGCCTAAACAGTTGTAGAAAACCAGTCATTGAGGGGCCCTAAACTTTCCAAAGGAATAAAGAGCATGATAGCGCATAGATTCACAGCCCAGGCAAATTCGGTAATCAAGATACTAAGCCCAAAATAGAATACACAAATCAGCTATGTTTTGCAACAAACTGCTAGGCGATGCTTGTCACAACTATAGTAGCATCCACTATCATCAGTTGCTGTTTTTGTGATCTGCCGCACTCAAGAACGGTTTTTTGTGATACCTAGGGGGGTTGATCATCAACACTCGAGTTTCAGGACCTAGCTCAGCTAAAATGTGGTAAACAATTCAAGACCACCATGACTGGTGGTGATGCTTGATCTACATCTGACACATCTTACTATGAGCATCGACGCGTCGTTCATTGTGGGTCTCCGACTGGAGCTATATATTCTCTGCCATGCACCTCCGGACTCCGGATTGCTTGTGAATGTTTTTGCATGTGCCACAGTTATGGAGATCATGCGATGGGAGTGGACCCTCAAGAAACATGATCTTATGTTGATATTTTTTGATTGCCTCCCTGCTTCGACTATCTTCGAATGCACTCCTTCAGCCCCTCCCGGAGCTCCCAAAGAAGAAAAGGTCTGATGAGAGTGCATGGGCTGTCCGCAGCTCATAGATTGTGCTGATTGCTTTGATGACATAGCGGAAGAAGAACAAAGGAAAAACACGATTGTCGATAAAGGAGAATGACTATGATCGGGGCAAGGACAAACCCAACGCCCAACATAGCCATGATGGCTTATGACTATGACATGAGCGATCAACAAACATTTGGGCTTATGTGGCCACTTGCGGTGATTGATCTCTTGGCTTGACAAGAGGAGGTGCACGGAGGCTCTTGGCGCGAAAGAACTTTAAACACCATGTGGCAATGGCTCAACATCAAAGAAAATGTCATCTGGCTATGGATGCAAACCCTTGCAGCCTGTTTTTGTTAAACGAACTAGCTGGCAAATGGATCGTTTCTCAGTTGAGCCATGGCCACCGTAGAGCGAATCTAACGCAAGAGGCGCTGCGCGAGAGGTGGCTAAGTGTCATACAAGTCATGGCTGCTTCAAACACCTACTTTAATGTGATCCATATGTATCCAAATGGTTCACTTTTTTGAACCACACAAGTCTCAGAACCACACATAGTAGACTCCGGTAGGCCACCAAGCTTCAGCTTTTCATACCTACTCTACCTGCCATGCATATGCACACACATACATATATACATATATATATACATATGTATGTATAAATATATATATATATATATTATATAATGTATGTATTTTTGATGTATGTATTTTTTATGTATGTATGTGTATACATAGATATATGTATATATATATACACATACATACATGAACAATGCCTCACAGATCCTTACATCATTCAGCCATCCTCCTTTCAGCTTTTTCGCTTTTTCCTATCCACTTGCGCTGGCCGAGCACTCGGCACTCACTGCCGTCAACGGCTCCTGGTCACTGGCGGCCGATGGTGAGGCCTGTGTCCAGTCCTTGGCATACATCTCTTCCGTCTGCCGGCAGCGCACACCATCCAGCACACCATTGAAGACCTTGTTGGCATCCGACCTGGCAGTAAAGCAAAGCGGTTTGAGCTGTTGAGAAATTAGAAACACGTAATTCTTGCATCATTCATTGTAATCATTGTAATTAATCACTTGAGGATACTTGAGGTATTCTGCTCCAAAGATTTTTATGGTTCTCCGAAACGTGGATAGAGTATGATATATTTGGAGTTTGGAGGTATCCAAACAGAATGAATCATCCATGGACTCCTACATTTGCCAGCCTGACTGGTTCAATTTTTTTGGGATCAACCCTGGTGCTGATATATGTCCCTATTATGACCGGGTCATATTAGTATATGTACCTGGGCATACCCAAATATGGCACAACGCCGGTGGAACATCTTATGACGAAAAAAATCAAGGTGATGTTCAAACTTGATCGGTTTACAGTATCTGGGACGTTCTATGGCTGCTGCTCATATGTGCTTCCTTGGATGAAAGCCGAAAAATAACGACTGGCAAGAACGACTTTACACCCTCAAGCCGCCACTCAAAGCTGGACACGTTTTCTATATAATCATGTCAAAATATGATATGCTCTCAAAATCAAAGATAATGGAGCATGGTAGATGATAAATACAGACCATCAACTGCCAGGATATCTGGGTTCTTTACCCTTCTGTCTAAATATGCAGATTCACTATCTCCCCGCTGCGCCAATGCCAATGGCCAGAATGTCGATTTTGACCATATTAAATTATATCAAGAAGAAATTGTCTCATCTCCACCGTAATGTGGCGAACCCACTGAGAAACCATGCCCAAAATTACCATAAATCGTTGGTAAAAACCATCCCCCAATGGTAGGTTCATGGCCTTGGGTTTACCATGGCCACCTTACATTCTCACCTAGACCCTCCAAGTTCCAGAAACAAATTGTTAATTACTTTGCCCCAACATTGTAACATTGTATTACTTTCACTCAATTTTATAGGGATTTATGGGATACTTGGAGGGTCCAAGATGTCTAAGGTAGACACCTTCTCAGCCAGGCCACACGCGTCTGACCTTCTTCCAGTTCTCGATGGCCGCGGGGGACGGGTGCCCCGGCACCGACGAAGTCCAGTCTTTCGCGTAGACCGCCTCCGTCTCGTCGCTTCTGCGCGGCGAAGAGCGCAGCTGGCCTCAAAGTACAGGTGGGAAGGGATGTGGGGAAGTGTGGTCACTTAGCAATATTATATGTATATATGCATATGTAATTATATGTTTATATATTCACATATATATATATATATATGTGCATGTGTAAATATATACATACTTGTATATATATATATGAATATTATATTTATTTATATAAATTTATCAATCAAAAACCCAGTTATGTGGGATATAACCCAATTACAAGCAATCCACTTGTTGGACCTTTCTATTTCTGGAGGGGTTTGTAAAGTGGTGGAAAGGTCAAGCAGGTGAAAAATTGGCAAGTCATTTGGCAAGCTGATCCACACATACACAAGTTTACCGGAGAGCAATGCTACAAGAGATCAGGCTTCTGTTGTTACACGTCGTGCCTCCTCTTATCCTGAAGATTAGGTGTAAGAAGCTGAAAGAAAATCAGAAAACTAAAACAACCTCCCCCGAACTCCTACGGCCCAATTAAAAAGTTGTTGCGGTAATGTATATACGTATATCAATCTCGCATGTATATGTGGGGTATACAGGCATATCCCACACATAAATAGGTTCTAACATTGCTAACATTGCTGCTACCCAAGTGCACTTACTACCCTCTGGTAATTTCAGCCATGAAAAATAACCATGTGCAAATGATTTACTGGTTGGTGGGTTCAACCCCTCTGAAAAATATGGAAGTCAGTTGGGATGATTATCCCCCATATATGGGAAAATACAATTCATGTTCCAAACCACTATGAAAGTCAGTTGGGATGATTGTCCCATATATTATGGGAAAATAAGAAAGGTTCCAAACCACCAAGCAGTTTACCATGATTTACCCTCTCTCTCTCCTCAGCGTTATCTCCGAGGAGTGGGTGATGATTTAGCTATCACTATCCCATGTGTCCATGGCAATTGCCCATGATTTTCCATGGCATCCATGGCTCCTGGATTTGCTTAAGGCTTAAGGCACCCCAAAAATAAGACAAGTTCCCCCTATGATTCCCCAAATGGTGGATTTCCCCTTGGGAAAATAGGCCAGATTATATTCAGCATGTATTCAGCAAATCCACGATCCGTGATGTTCCTATTAAAACCCTCCATTGAGCATGGATTTTCCATCCTTATCCCACATGTTCACCTGATGTTCCGAGATTTTCCTGTAGTAACTGGGCTGCACCACAAATGTCACGCATGGCTTCGCCAGGTGGCCGTTCATCGCTGAGCTCGTGGGGCTCGTGGGTTGCGAGCTCTGAGCTCGTTGGACGGGCAGGTTGGCCCAGTCCAGGTTGTACATGCCTTCCTGGGGCTCCATGACATTTAGCCCATCAACATGGTGAGGTTAAACACGGTTAGAAAAAAAAAAACACCCAACGAAAATGGGGAGTGACCTAGAAATGTGGTATTATGTTGGGTGATTTTGGATGGCTAAGTTGGTTGAACTCGCTGCATTTACTGTGGTTTGTGGTAGATATCACTGATATAATATATATTATATATATAGTATATATATATATAGTATATATATATATTATATATAGTTAATGGGATCTATAAACCAGCTGTGTTCCCCCACCTTCTGAGGTCACCATGGGTTGCATCTGAGCTCCGATTCGTGTTCAGTTCTGCGGCGCTAGTTGTGTGTGTGTGTGTGTCTGTTTATTTGGTTCCAATAACAAATGCTTGAAACAGTAAATAGCTATAAAATCTTAAGAAATCATAACAAATCACTGTTTATTTGATGTTGACATATGTTGACTTAATATTTGAAAAACAAATGGCGGAGAATTGACACTTGAATGAACCCACAAAGTCGCAGGAAACTGCCAGGGTTTCGACCCCACTGGCCACTGGTGTGACACGTGTGTAACAGTTCCCGATTCTTTGGCCCCGTGTTCGGGTGCCCTATATTTTCGTTCTGTTCATCACAGTTGGTAATCACAAGTAATCACTCTGAGTCTAACATATTAAAATGGCAACATGGTAAACAAAATTAATTAAGGCATCTCGCTTCTGAAAAAGATATTAAAAAAATATCACCTGCCTGACTTACTTGACTCAAGGGCTCAAAAACATGGCAGCAGATTTGGACAGCATACTACAGCAGGAGAAGAAAAATAAAAGCTTCGAATATTGAAGTCTGGTTTCCGTCTGCTTGGACCGAATGTCATTGAGCAGCCCTTGCATGACATAGCCACCGTCATACAATCGCCGGACCCTACGCCACCTCGGAAGTGTGTTCAGAGAGAGCCTGCTGCTTTGACAATACCCTCATATATCCTCCACATAGTAAGGGACTGTTAATGCAATTAAAGGGAATGATAACAGTGAAGCCTGTCCTTTAAGCATATTCAGATTCATATAGTAGTACATTCTGGATCGGAATTGCTTGTGCAAGAATCCCTTTCCAGCTATGGTAGCAGGAATGTCCATCCAAGTGTGGTTGTGGTGTGAAATAAATGCGAGCGTTTGACCTCGCACATCCTTGGGACCTGTAAAAATTCTGAAGAATTGAAAAGGTCGCACAGGTAGGCATCCCTTTCCAAATCGGTGATTCATCTGTCATCCACTGTTCCACATACCAACCCGCTGCTCACTCATCCAGCTGTTCATCATGCATCTAAAACTGTCTCCCTGCCCAAGCATAGGTCCGGTCAACCTATCTATCCGTTTTCCTTGCCACCGCCTCATACTGTTCAATGCCGAAGCAGTTTTTTTTCTGCGATGATTGCATTGTTTTTCACATAACACCAAAAAGAAGATTGTTTGTTAACAAACCTTGTGCCATATTATGGAGTGCAACAAACATATCCAAAACAAAATGCATACCAGTTGCAGCATTTTGTACCACAAACCCTGTTCTAAACACCTTGAACCGGACCCTGAAGAATATCCTAAAACCCATCAATTTGCCATTTCTCAGTTCCACACCTGAGTTTTTTAAGTCAGGCATGAATTACGTATGGATTGTGTCAGTGTTTTATTTCCATGGAAAAATCATCTAGTTGCCTCAAGTTGGAATAAATATCCCAACCCCATCACCACCCCAACTAACCCCCCATCCACCCCCAACCACCCCCAACCCCCATCCCCAACCACTTCCCCCAACCGCCCCCAACCCCCCTTGGCCCAAGGCGCTGCTTGCGCGCCGGCGACTCGCTCTCGGCCTTGCAACTTCCCAGGCTCTCCTTCTGAGGCTCCGCCAGGGTCCCCAGGCTGCGCGCGCGGGGGCCGATGACCTGGATGGGGCCCATACTAAGGGGAGATTGACATGGGTTGAATACATGTAATTGTATGATGTAGATAAGTAGATAATCAAAAATCTTGAGCCAGGGTCAAATTACATGGGATTCATCTGCGGCATCATCCCACCATCATGGGATTCCAAAAAAATAATTGGGCCATGAACGGAGCTAGTTGTAGTCACAGTAGATAGCTACTGGTGGTTATATTTGGGTTGTAGCCCATAAAAGTCACCCAGTTATGTTTGTGAAAAAACAGATATTAACCAGGGAACTACAGTACCTCCCTGGCCCACAGAAGTAGGATGATACATCAAACATGGCATACTGGGTACTTAAACAGGTAGCATGGTACATGGTCGGCTCTTAGAAATTCCCACCACCATGTAATACAGCTGGCTGAAACCAAGGCCATGAAATGCAGGGTGTAAACAAATTAATCTACTGTATATCATGTTGTTCAAATCTGTATAATTAATATATAACTATATAATATATACAAATATGATCAAATATGCAGTAATTAATATACTCAGGATTTCTCAAAAACTCACCCCAAATGGGACCCCAAAATGAACACATCCACTACCATCCACCAGGATGTCCGGCGTCTCGGCCCCATTCCCCGCGGCACCATGGTGGGGAGCCCTTCGCGACCGCGCGGGGTGCGCTGCCAGGCCTGGCATGACAAAAATCAGTATGATATTTCTATAATCCTATACTGATAATATTTACTATTTACCATTAATATGGACCATTTCCCATAATATTCATAGTAAGTATGTCCATTAATACTGTACCATTTCCCACAATGATATTTCTAATATTATCATATGGTATATCAGTATGGGAAATGGTAAATACCATACTATAATCCATCTATAATCCATCTAGATATTTCTATCATCCCATATTTGTATCAGGTCCAAACCTACTGACCTACTGATTAACTCTGACTATATATGGGATCATAACTATCATAACTTGTCCATATATCGGTATTATATATATATATATATCCCAGATACCCTCTAGTAAACTAACATAACTATGGAAAATCACCATTTTTGATAGGGAAATCAACTATAAATGGCCATTTTCACTAGCAAACTGTTAGTCATTACCAGAGGGTCTTAATTCCCATAAGGTGGTGGCACTCCAGACACTTCCAGCATAACCCATCCCCACCTCAGCAGTCGACATCTGCATCTCTGGGTTGTCGGAGCCGTCGGGGCCGTCGGGGCCGTCGGGGCCCTGGCCACCTTGGGAGACGACGCTTGGGGACTCCAGCGATCAAACTTGGTTGGAAAATGACGGCTTTTTTGGTAGAACAGCACCTATACCCATAGGATCCATGTATGATATATTATATGCTAACATTTGGGGTATGTTGATGGTAAATGTTACTATATATAGCATACATGGATCCTATGGGATATTATAGGTATAATCGACAATCATGTTTTTAAAAAATAGGCCATAAACATCCATAAGATATGTCATGATATGTTTATAATGGATAGTGTTGAAAACTTTTTCCAATTGACAGGTTTGCTGACCGGGCCAGTAGAAGATTCCACGGCCACGCCTTCCCCCGCCAAGGGAAGCTTAAAATAGGCACCACAAATGCGTAACTTGCTTGGCTTGTAATTTGGGGTGAAATGCCTGGTATTCTGGGAAAAACAGCAAAAACGTGAGACCTTGCCATTCCCTGAAATGCCCGCATGATGTGTCGAACAAGTACTAAGTATGTCAAACTATGGAGGTAATTGGTTCCCAAGCATCAAGAACAACCCTATCTGGATTCGTTGTGAAACTCTTGGTATAGCTCCTTTTTTGCACCATTTTACCGTGCACCTTCGCCCCATAGCTCCTCCAGCGCAGGGCACAAAGCTTCCTAGGGCGGGTTATCCATGTTTGGCAGCTTGAGGCTCTCCAACACCATCAAGGATGACATGGGGCATGCCCCAAACAAATTCAACAAAATAGGGCTAGACCACATGCAGATAGAACTTAAAACTGTTCGACTTTCACTGGCAATTGATAGAAACTTGAAAGAAATCCAGGATTTTGTCCCGGTTTTTTACCATCCAGTTGGATGTGAAGTTTCACATTCACCGGTTTTGGGATACCTGTCCCATGAACAATGAAGCACAGAGTGCCCCAAACTCACCTGAAGCGTTGGTTGAAACCTCAATGACGAATTATGCCAAATCAACAATGGGAAATGACATGGCTGATGCTTTTTGTTTTTTTTCATACCAAGGGAACACAAAAACATACAAAAACCTTGGCTTGGTCTGCTTGCAAATTCGGTAGCACAGTAATCCCATACAGTACATGTTCCAATTTTTAGAGAATCTGCCAACTCTCCCAGAAGCAGAAGTCTCCAACGTCCAAGGTTCCGATTCTCGTTCTCGGCAGCAGCAGCATTGCACTTGTCCCATAATGAGATGGGATGCAATGCCTTCCTTTCACAGGCAACTCTTGAACCAAATGGCGGCAGCAGTTTACCAGTCAATGGGGGCCCACCCACCATGCGCAATGGGAGTGTAGCCAGGGGATGGCCAGGGGTACCAACAATTCCACCAACAACGACATATCTCTGCCTTGGCATCACAGATTTGAGTGCGCAACATCTGTTCTTTATCCCTGCGCTTTCAAGTGTTGATATCTGGAACCCTGTGACACTGCCAGAGTTCGCCAGTGCTAATCAACAGGATTTCTTTGACAAAAGAAACTTACAATTTCTACCCTCTGGTAAACTAACGTAGCTATGGAAAATCACCATTTTTAATGGGAAAATCAACTATAAATGGCCATTTCCAATAGCTACGTTAAATTACCAGAGGGTAAGCCAACTCACAAAAACATCCTCGATTTCACATGAGAACACATCCCCAGATGATCCCAGATGGAGTTTCACAGAGTTCCTTGATCAGTACCCTCTGGTAAACTTACATAACTATGGAAAATCCTCTTTTTGAATAGGAAAATCCGCTATAAATGGTCATTTTCAATAGTTATGTTAAATTACCAGAGGGTATTTGGATCATCCAACATGGTTTGGATACGACCGGTCCGGTTCCAAGCTTCGTCAATGAAGGGTTCGAAATCCGCGCGGTTTTGCTCCATGAAATCAACGCACTCTTCTCTGAATCTGGCCTCGGAATTCAACGACCATCCCTCGACATGGACATGGATGACATGGTTTGGTTGCGGGAATGATTGCTCAGTAAGTGGCTTGCACACAGCAGGAATTGTATTGGTTTTTATGAGTTCTTTGTGTTAGACTTAATGTTCATCCATTGCCTTTCAGGACATCCTTTAAACATATAGCCAATCAAAATGGGTTTAATGATTCTGCAGAAATTCAACTCTTCAGTAAATAGCTAAAATGAAAGAAATCAAAGTTTAAAATCCTAGGTCTGGAGTCTGGAGTTGAACATGAGCCTGGAAAAGGACTCGAACCCCAGAAAATTGACAGACACGGGAATGAATGTGGTACTAGAATGATCTCTGGAGATGAGGACCCAAGCCAAAAACCTATAGGATCCTATTGGATGTTCATGGACTTTCCATATATATTTTTTAACTAAGTTGGTCCAGCAACATGGAAATTTCATGGAAGTTCAATGAATTGCACCAAGCCGGAGACAGATGGATGGGTTAAAACCCCGTGATTTTCCGCAGGTTTTCAGTGGATGAACATGGCCATGACCATGACAGCACACCCAAATTCCAAGGGATTCTCATCCATTAAAATGTCTCCATGGTGTTGTTCAAGAAAATGTCCTAACAGGTTGTCAGTCACATTTCCTACTATCTACACACACATACTATATAATATATATGCCCGCGTTGGACTGCAGATTGAATCTTGGTACTATTAATGACTACTGTATTTACCATTGGTTACGTGAAACTAATGTGGCAAACAACAGATAAACCATTCCAATGATCAACCAAGTTGAATTCATCATTTTATAATTACATACATCATGTTACATATGTTACATCATCCCCTATTTGGGAGCATATAGCCCAAGAATAAACAGTCATACACTTCACAAGTACTATCGGATTATCTAAACTCACCAAAGCGTCGTCCCATCACCGTGTGCGATCCCTCCTTGGTCGCCGAGGAACGTGTGCCTCCGGTTCGTCGGCCGCCAATTGGTCTGCGAAACTGGCGGCAGCGCGCAACGGGTGTGGGGCAGCTTTTGCCCCGGATGGCCG